TAGACAAGTCACCGATGAACCAAAAGGACTGAGTCACTGATGAACCAAATGGAGTGAGTCACTGATGAACCAAATGGAATGAGTCACTGATGAACCAAATGGACTGATTCACTGATGAACCAAATGGAATGAGTCACTGATGAACTAAATTAGACAAGTCACTGATGAACCAAATGAGTCAAGTCACTGATTAACCAAATGGACTGAGTCACTGATGAACCAAATTGAATGAGTCACTGATGAACCAAATGGGATGAGTCACTGATAAACCAAATGGAATGAGTCACTGATGAACCAAATTAGACAAGTCACTGATGAACCAAAAGGACTGAGTCACTGATGAACCAAATGGAATGAGTCACTGATGAGCCAAATTAGACAAGTCACTGATGAACCAAATTAGACAAGTCACTGATGAACCAAAAGGACTGAGTCACTGATGAACAAAATGGGATGAGTCACTGATAAACCAAATGGAATGAGTCACTGATGAACCAAATGGAATGAGTCACTGATGAACCAAATGAGACAAGTCACTGTTGAACCAAATGGACTGAGTCACTGATGAACCAAATGGAATGAGTCACTGATGAACCAACTGGAATGAGTCACTGATGAACCAATTGGAATGAGTCACTGATGAACCAATTGGAATGAGTCACTGATGAACCAAATAGAATGAGTCACTGATGAACCAAATAGAATGAGTCACTGATGAACCAAATGGAATGAGTCACTGATGAACCAACTGAGACAGGTCACAGATGAACCGATTGGAAGAAGTCACTGATGAATCAAATGAACTGAGTCACTGATGAACCAAATGAGACAAGTCACTGATGAACCAAATGGACCGAGTCACTGATGAACCAAATGGAATGAGTCACTGATGAACCAATTGGAATGAGTCACTGATGAACCAAATGGAATGAGTCAATAATGAACCAAATAGAATGAGTCACTGATGAACCAAATAGAATGAGTCACTGATGAACCAAATGGAATGAGTCACTGATGAACCAAATTAGACAAGTCACTGATGAACCAAAAGGACTGAGTCACTGATGAACCAAATGGAGTGAGTCACTGATGAACCAAATGGAATGAGTCACTGATGAACCAAATGGACTGATTCACTGATGAACCAAATGGAATGAGTCACTGATGAACCAAATTAGACAAGTCACTGATGAACCAAATGAGACAAGTCACTGATTAACCAAATGGACTGAGTCACTGATGAACCGAATGGACTGAGTCACTGATGAACCAAATGGAATGAGTCACTGATGAATCAAATGAGACAAGTCACTGATGAACCAAATGGACTGAGTCACTGATGAACCAAATGGGACGAGTCATCAATGAACGAAATGAACTGAGTCACTGATGAACCAAATAGAATGAGTCACTGATGAACCAAATAGAATGAGTCACTGATGAACCAAATAGACTGAGTGACTGATAACCAAATGG